ATACATATGAGAAAACAGAAAAAAAAAAAAAAAAAGGAAAGAAAGGATGAAGAAGTGGAGAGAAAAAAGAGAGGAAAGAAAAGGAAATAGAAGGAAATGAGAAAGAAAAGGGAAGAGAGAAAAGAAGAGAGGAAATGACAAAAAAAAGGAAGTAGAAAAAAAAAAGGTAAGAAAATGAAGAAGGAGACGGGAGGCAGAAAGGAAAAGAAAGAGAGGAAGAAAGGAAAAGAAAGAGAGGAAGAAGAGAAAATGAGAAAAAGGAAGAGAAGTGGTGATATATATAAGGCTTATACGGACCGTTTTCGGTCCATATAATCCTTATTGGCGCACCGCACCAAAATCTTTGAATTTTTTCGGGAAAATTTTTGGCGCATTAATAATATTCAGACCGAAATCGGTTTGAATATAAATGAATTAGCGCAGAATCAAAAAATTCAAATTTACGGTAAAAATTTGGCGCATAAATTAATTACGGACCGATTTCGGTCCATATATGTATTTAGAATAAAAGGCATCACGTTAATATATTCAAACTGATTTTGGTCCGAATATATTGGGAAAAAAAATCCCGGGGCACCAATAATTTTCAATTTTTTTGGCAAAATTTTTGGCGTATTAATAGTATTCAAACCGAACTCGGTCTGAATATAAATAAAGTAGCGCAGAATCCGAGAGATTCAAATTTACAGTAAAAATTTGACGTATAAATTAATTACGGACCGATTTTGGTTCGTATATGTGTTTAGAATACAAGGGATCACATTAATATATTCGAACCGATTTTGGTCCGAATATATTGGGAAAAAATTCATAGCGCACATTTTCATTCTTTTCATTTAAGGATATCACCATTTTCTCGTGTCCTCAATCCATATATACGGACCGGTATCGGTCCGAATATAGGCAATCCGAGGGATTTTTTTATCCTAAAGCTAAATTTAATTAAGTATGAATATATATACGGACCGGTTTTGGTCTGAATATATGCAAACAATCCAGAAGCTTCCATGTTTTCATTTTTCAGACCGATTGTGGTCCGAATATGCTAGAAAAAATCCAGAAACTTCTCCCAGTTCACATTTTTATTCTTTTCATTTAAGGACATTACCATCTTCTCGTGTACTAAATCCATTTCTGCGAAAACCAATTGCATGTACATCAACCCTACAGTTCCTTGGAACCACAAAACCATCGATTGTCTACCTGAAATTATCTTACGATGGTACGGAGTAATATCGTTGCAAAAGCACAAATGTATAAGTTCAAGGTTATTAGAGATAATGTTACGTAATGCTCTTTCGGAGCCACAAGCAAATAAAACTAATTTTTTTTATTTAGGTTAACCACTTTGGCTTGCAAACATTCTATAATATCCCAAATTTTCGGGAATTTTATCATTTAAGTTAAGGACTAAATTGTGGAAAATGCTGTTTTGGGGCTTAATGGTAAAATGTTCAAAAGTTGAGGGATTTAAAGAGGGAAAATAATTGGATAAGGATCAGTTTCTTTTCTTTTTCTTTTTCCTTCTTTTCTTCCCCAGCCATTTCCCGATTCTGCTCTTCTTCTTCCCGCTGCAGCCGAACAAAGCCCCTAAGCTGCTGGCGACTTCCTCCCTTGAAAAACCGGTAAAGCTTGACGATTTTCCCTTATTTTCTTGTCCAAGAACCTGATTTGGAACCCAGAAATCCTTCCCCCCTCTCTGCAGAATCTGGATCTGCTCTGCTTTGCTCTGTCCTTCTACCGGCTGCTCCTGCTTTGTGGGGGTGATTTGCTCCGGTTTTGGGTAAGAAACAGCTACCAATCCCTCTGTTCTTCTTTGAATTGCCTTGGGTTTACCTTAATTGCTCTTGGTTCCTTTAATTTTGGGTAGCCCCGTGAGTCCCCTGCACTTGCCGCCGGCCTCCTCCCCAATCTGCACTCCGGTTTTGCTTGCTGGATTTATGGTATGTGGCAGCTTCTCTAAGTCCTAATTTACCCCTTTAATTGTTGAATTTTGTCCATGGATTGGCTACCCCTATGATGTCCGAAAGTTTGCAGAAATTGGGGATGAATTTTGGTAGCTTAAGCTATGTTTTTAAGCTAGGTTTAAGTGTAAATTAGCTTGATTAGTTTCTGTGATTTTTGGAGAAAATCCCGTGGATTAGCTAGTGTTTTGGCCAATTTTTGGAAGTTGGAGTTAATGTTCACGGCACTGTTCACGCCTTTTTTTTTTTTTTT